CAATGTCCTCAAGGTTTAAAACAGAACAACATATACTTCTTTGTCTAACAGCCTTCTTTTAACAGTCTGTGTATTTATATACTCTATTTGATTTCTCCTTTCATTCATTAATGGGCATTTACTCAGTTTTCAGTTCTTGTGGAAAATACCACAAAGGGGGGTGTTTTTATCTGATTTGATGTAGGGTTACCCATTTATTTTTGTTTTTTCCTTGAGTTTTTGGTATTATAGTCAATAAATCATTGTCAAGCTATGTTACAAAGCTCTCCCTTTACGACTTCTAAGAAATTTATATTATCAGATTTCACACTTTGTTCTTCCATTTTGTGTTAATTTTTGTAGATAGTGTAAGATAAGTGTCTGGGCTTATTCTTTTGTAAGAGAACATCAATTTTCCTAGCATAATTTGTTTAAAGGACTACTGTTTCTCTCATTGTGGAGTCTTGGAAGCCTTGTCAAAATGATTTGATAGTATATGTATGGGATTATGAATGGGTCCTTTCATATTTATTTAATCTGCATGTTTGTCATTATGCTAGTATCATACAGTTTTGATTAGTGTAGCTGTGGAACACTTCAAAATCAAGAAATGTGAGATTCCTAGTTTTATTCTTTTTGGTATGATCATTTTAGCTGCTCAAGTTCTTTTTTGGTTCTGTATGATTTTTAGTGTTTTTTTTTTCTATTTTGTTGCTGAAATTCTGATAGGAGTCACATTAACTGTAGATTGCTCTGAGTTATATGGATATTTTAGCAATATTAAGTTTTCTAGTCTGTGTATACTAGATGTGTTATGCACTTCATTAGTATTTTGTAGATTTAGTTCAATTGTCTTTTACCTCTTTGGCTAGTTTATTCCTTGGTATTTTTTTTCTTTTTAATATTGATCAATGTGATTGTTTTCTTAATTTCTTTTATAAACTCTTTCTTGTTAATGTAAAGAAATGTAAATAATTTTTGTATATCCATTTTTATCATGCACCTTTGATTTGCTTATTAATTCTAGCAGAGTTCTTGTAGCATCTTTAAAGTTTTCTGAATATATGATCTTGCAATTTTCAAACAGATCACTTTACTTTTGTCTCTAATTTGGATGCGTTACATTTCTTTTAAATATTCATTACAGAAAATAATTGTATTCATTTATGCAGATTTGACGCTCTCCCATAAGAACACTAAAATAGCTGCCTACTATTTAAACATAAATATATCTCTTATTTTTCATTTCTCTTTTTATGTATTTATTAGTACACAGATTGTATTAGATTTTAATAGATTATTCAATATTAATAAAGTATGAATATATCTGTAAAATGATTTGTAAGAGAAAAACGTCTGAAAGTTTAATCTCTTAAAATTTCTTGCTCTTGCAAAAAATAACCATGTTGCCATTAAAATATTTTTGAGGGTCAAATATTTAGTAATATGATAATCATTAACCTGTCAAAAATAAATCTGCCATTTGCTTTACTCATAGAAAAAAATTTTCAACTCAATTTCCTGATAAGATGGAGCAGCAGTTGTAAAAGAGGTAGTTTGAGGAGATGATTTATCCAAACACTAGATGGTGTAATGACTGGAGTTGAGATTAGTTTTGTATTTGCTCAAAAATTTTGACCCAAGGGAATACACTTCTAGGAGTGTATGAAGAGAAACAGTTTTTGGGGTGCAGATGATTCTCTGGTGTAACTATAGAGTACTGTCATGTTCAGGCACATTATCATACCTCCAAAACTGTCAAACCATGGAAGATTCATATCCTTCATGAATAGAGGTCTTGTTTATCTCACAAGATAAAGAATCCCAATGAGTTGAGGTGTTGACTTAGGGCAAGGGACCATAAAATACGTAGAAGTTAAGTTATAAATATTAAGCGTATGACCCTTATGGAGTCATTACATAAGGCAGTTTTCCAAATTTCATTTCTTAGTATGTGTGCTTATTTTTTCTTCTGAATTTCTCCCTACTTTTTCGTTTTAAGAATTTTTCTTTACAGTTATCTCAGAGATAGCATTTAGTTGTAGCATATTCAAATGTGAATGTGTCTGAATTTGAAGAGTAATTGGTGTTTCCAAAAGGTGAGTAACATGGCTCTCCCTCAGAAAGAGATACAATGATTGGTAGGAATCTTTGTCTCCCATTTTTAGGGAGAAGGTAAGATTGACCTTGATAGCATGAAGGATAACTGCATATTATTACTGGATTGTGGTCCTGTTGAAGTTCGAATATCTCAGAACGGTGTGTTCATGGATGCTGAGTACCTAACGTAGCTGACTGACTCAGTCATCAAGCATTTTTCTCACTCCAAACTCTTCCTTGTGTACTACGTTCTATGATGTGTCTGAGACTCTGCAAGCAACATTTTGCCATTGTCACTGTTGTTTCCCCCACTGTAATAGAATAAAGGGCAGCTGGAAGATAAGAAGAGGAAGATGGGAATCACTGCTGGTTAGAGTTTGAATGTGTTTCCAGCCCTATTTCTGTGTTGGAAGCTTGACCCCCAGTACAGCAGTGTTGGGGAATGGTGACTAATAAGAAGTGATGAGGTCATCCAGACCTCGTCTTTTTGAATTTATTGATGCTGCTTCAGTGAGAGTGTTTTTTGTTTTGAACACGAGTTCAACTCCCTATTGCGTGTATCCTCTATTGTTCGTTCACCACCTGCCATGACATGACACAGCAACAAGGCCCTGGGCAAATGGGGTACTTTTACTTTAGACTCCTCAGCCTTTAGAACTACGGAGATAAATCTCTGCACTTTATAAACTAGCGGTTTCATGGTATGCCTCACAACAGCCAGAAACATACAGAGATGTCTCTTCTCTTTTCAGTGGTCCTCCCCATGTACTTCATCAATCAGTTTTCCTCCAAGGCTGCAGATTCATTCTAGCCCTCATAGCCTGCAGTTTTAGCCTTTTCCTGCACTCTCAGAGGCATCAACATCCTTCTGCCTCCAAGGTTCTGCTGCCTTGAGTCTATATTCTCCTAAGTCCAGCGTCCCCAAATACTTCCTCGAAGCATCTGAGACAACTGCCGCCTCTGAACAACTGTCCTAAGAGATGTGGGTCTCAATTCTGTGAATTCCTTCTTTCAAGCTTCTGCTAGAAACCTGGCAGAGCCTTCCCAAAATTCTGAGCCAGCTCCTCCAGGTCCCTCTTACAACCCTCATTTCTTCATTCTGCACTTTTAGCCCTGAACTTGCTTACGGCACGTACCACCTAAATCTTCGCTCTGTGCTCCTTTTTGCTCTCAGTAACAGTGTAAATCAATGACCTATAAGGAATTATTTCTGTAAAAATAAGCTGTTCTTTCTTTCAATGAATGTTGATTGTTACAACTAGTTGCTCAGAGTAGTATATACAATATTCTGCTCTTTGCATTTCAACTGTAATCTTGTGTATATGTTTAGAAGTATTGGTTGTATTTTTCTATCTGCCGAATGTTTTCACTCTTGATAGGTAGGTAGATGTGTCAGAGCTTTTTTTTAGTAATCAATGTATAGTTGTATATATCCATTTTTAACATGGCTTGATATGATTTTGTGTGTGTGTGTGTGTGTGTGTGTGTGTGTACCAGGGATTGAACTCACAACCTTGTGCATACCATGCAAGCACTTGTGCCACTGAGCTAAATCCCCACCCGTTTTGTTTGCTTTATGTATGGTTTGACAAATTCTGTTTTATGTGCTCTGACAATTTTTATTTCACAATTTTTTTTTATCGGTACCAGGGATCGAACTCACGACCGCCCGCTTGCAAGGCAGGTGCTTATGCCACAGAGCTAAATCCCCAGCCCCTTATTTCACAAGTTTAAATCTATACATTTTTCTCCCATAAAATTTTTGTTTCCTTTCCTTCCTTTAGGATTAAGTATATTTTAGAATTATTATTATTGCTCCATTTTTCCTATGAGTTCATTAGTTTACTTGACTTTATACACCTCTTTAGTTATGTCCTGAAGAGTGAAGCCTATAAGTTATTAACTCCTATATAAGACGAGTTTTTATCCCTTGCCAGACAGTGAGGATGTTTAGAATATTTTAACACCATCTAATTAAACCCCTTCTGACTTAGGATCTTGTAACGGTGTCATTAAATATTTGCACTCTCTGGGTATTTTAAACCTCTCTGGACATTGCTGCTGTTATTATTTGGCCAATATTCATTTAGATTTCCCACATAATTAGCATTTCTGTTTCTATTCATCCACTTCTATTTCTAAACTCCCACAGAAATCAGTGACTTCCGTCAATAAAATACTCTTAATACTTTCTACAGTATAAATTTGAGGGGACAAATTCTGATACATTTTTCAGTTATTTTCTTTCAATATTTTGAAAATATCATCCTGTATCATTAGGTTCTTTCTTTGCTTTATCACTTTTTTTATTTTCTGTTGAATGTCGCTGTCATTCTTGCTATTACTTCCTTGTAGATAATATGACATTCTTTGGTGATTTTAATATTTTTTCTTGTTTGTTTTCAGTTTTCCACAGGACTACCATGAAGTGAGTAGATATACTTTCATACTTTATATTTATTCTGCTTGAGATTTATACCATGTCTTGAATCTGACTTTTAAAATTTATTTATTTATTTTTCTTACCAGGGATCAAGCTTATGACCTTGTGCTTGCCAGGCTGGTGCTTATGTCACTGAGCTACATCCCTGGCCCATTGTATCTGGTTTTATTGTCTTTTGTTAGTTACAGAAAATTCTGTGAGTATCCCTCAAATGTTGCCAGGACTTATTTTCTGTACTTTCTTTGTGGGACTACAACTATAAATGGTTAAATATGCTCAGTGTATCTCAAATGTTCATAATTTTTCTATATTTCTATTAACTTTATCTTAACTTTGTGAATTTTGACCTGACCTCTCTAAATTTATTAATCCCTTTTCTGTATATTTAAAACTACATATATATATATATATTTTTAATATATATATATATTAATTTTTATTTGGTTAATTTTTATAGCTGTTGACTTTTCAAAATCTTCTATTTTGGTGCTTGCTTCAGCTATACATATACTAAACAGAGAAGATTAGCATGCACCCTGCATGAGTGTGACATGCACATTTGTGAAGCATCTATATTTTAAAATGGCAGTAGCGCTTTACAGCTGGGTAGGAAAAGGCAGAGAAAGGGGACAATGGAGATGTGTCATGTACATGTCCAAATTCCCCATTATAAATAGAAATATTATGTCTGCAAATGTGTACTAAAAATTCTCTACTTTGGTCATTGATTCTATGAATATGTTAATAAGATGTTTTGCTTAAAATTCCTTGACTAATAACTGTATTTTCTAGACTTGTTAGAGTCTATTTTTAACAGGTTTTTTCTCTGTTTAATTAACTGTTTTTGCTTATATAATGTCTGATATTTTTATTAAATACTAGATATTGTATATTAAAAATCATAACGTTCATTGGAATAGTTTGGTTGATGATACTCATCTTCTGAGTAGACTTAGTTTAATTTCAGATACGTAGGTTAGGAGCCAGCTATTCCAAATCACCGGATTGCTATCATGAATTCAAATGAGATAATCTAGTCTTCAGGTCCATAGATGTCTGGTGGTTTTCAAATTTACTTGTAGTCCTAGGGAGTAGTGATTTTGAGTTATAACTAAATGTTTACAATCCTTTTCAGCACATACCTGTATTACTAAACTCTAAAATTCCAAATTTTCCCCAGTCTTATGTTTCCTTAATATTCTGCTAATCTAAATGTTTGGGGTGTTTCTAGGGGCCTTGACAAAATATAGTATCAAATTATAAATTCTCTCCTCTGGATGCATTTCTTCTCTTGTCTTAGGCCCCCCTCAACTTTTGGCCATAATGATTCTTTAATATTTTTAGGAAGGGTTTTAAAAAATACTTTCCTTAAATTTAATGTTCTCAGCAGATTTGATAGAAAGCAAAATATTCTAACATTGCCATTACCAGGCATGGTCATAGCTTTAAATTAAACATGCAACAGATAATTGTGTCTACTTTTTACTTGCTTCCTTATGTCAATAAAAGGAGTTATGTATGGTTTACTATGGAGAATTCAATAAAAGCCACAGTTCTTTAGGACTATCATAGAGAATAATATATTCCAAATAAATTTGTTCTCAGAATGAAACTGAAATTTAGGACTTACGTATGAGAACCAGCTAACCATATCTATTCCTGACAGTCTAACCAATTTATTTCAGGCAAATGTTTCCATTTCAACCAAAAAGTTGGACTACTGTTTCATCAGAAGTTATGGTTGTTTACAAGGCTGACTGACAGGATCAGAGGGTAAATTTTCCAAGTCTTCTAAAATCTTAACTCTTTGTGGCTGAAGCTGAAACTTAATTATTATTTCCTGCTGGTACTTTAAGTCATCACAATGCCATTGCTCACCAATTAATTTTAGTGTTACTTTCTACTCCTGTCTTCCCCTTCTCCTTTTTCATGCGTCAACACTACCATCTGATCTAGCGTCAGTATTCTCTGAGCTGATCTCATGTATCTGCTTTCTTCTATAATTTCTGTAGACCTTTTCTCTATTCTAGGTGCACTCAACTTGTTTTTAACCTTTTTCTGGATTTTATTTAATTTGAATTGTCTTCAGTCATTTCAGTGAGTGTTGGAGACTATAGGAGGCAATCATAGCTACCATCTTGAATCGAAATACCAACTAAATTTAACACAGCTCTTTTCAGAAGATTAAATTAATAGCTATGATTCTATAGTTTTTAGAGGAGAATTGAATTGAATTGCAAATAAGCATTACTTTGCAATTCATTGTTAGACAAAATACAATAGTTCTAGGTAAAATAACTTTTCAATGATTGGTTCTTATAAACCAAAATTTCCGAAGTAATAGTATTTGTTTAATCTTGTTTTTGTTTGTTTCAGGAGTAAAGGTAGAATAATTTCAATCCAAGAAATTAAATTTGTCTAGTAAGTAGCTTTTTATGAGACTCACTGATCAAAAATTTCATTTGTTCATTTATGAAGAGAGTGAACGAAAGCGAAAGTTTAAAAAACATTTTAGCAATAAAAATGTAAATGTAGGCATGAGCATTACTCTTTCCTTCATTTCATATTTGAGTGATTATACATTTCCTATTAAACTTTACACACTAAATAATGACAATGACATTTAGTTTTTAAAACTGAAGCTTTTCTTTTTAAAGATGCAATATAAGTATTTCTATCAGTTAAATAATTTGATTTTAGTTTCCACCTCCAGGCATGGGTAAGGGTTTGTACTATTTTTCCTTTCTTTTTTTTTGTAGAGAAAATGTTGCTCCATGAAAAGTGATAGCAAAAATAACAGTGCAGTGCTGGTTGGGCGGAAGCATTTTCTTTTGCAGAAATCAATAGGGAAAGAGAGTGATCGTATTTTTCACCTGAGGCAAATCACCATTCAGAGCAGAAGAGTGCTCATCTAGTACAGTCATCCGTGACACAGACCTTCCATCAGGAGCCACTCAAGGTTAGGGGCAACCCTCGATGTTGGAAGAGAGTAATTAAATTAATTCTACTGGAAAGTGACAAGATGACTCGGTGCATTCTGAGCACTCCAAACACTTTCCCTTTACCCTCCACTGTCAGCACTCAGTCTCTTCTCTTTAGCATCTCACTCTGACACTTAATACCTGCAAGTGATGCCTGCTTCCTTTTGGTCTTCTTGCTTAAGCAGCAATGTGAATTTGACTTGTTCTATGATGAATGAATGGATGCCACATGAAGGAAATGTAATTGCTTTGACTATGTGGCATTAAATGGATATTCCCTTTGGAAAACCCACTTGCTTCATTTAGCCCCAAATGTGCCAAGCAGATGCAGATGATCAGCTCACAGCATATGATACAAGTGAATATCTTTCTCTTTTATGTTCTGTTTTTAATGTAATAGCAAACTAACATCTGTTGTTCTGAGCATCACAAATCTGTGCTTTTCAATGTAAAGGTTTGTTGCACATTGATATTTTGCTAAGAATAGAATGTGCATGGCAATTAGGCTACACAATATCTTTACGTCACATTTGAATGTTCTTTGGAAAGGTCATTGTGTGTGTGTATGACCTACTGAGCTGTGTACTATGATAGATGTAGTTACAAGGTAAAATGATTGAAATCATAATGTTATGGAAAGTGGATAAAAGAATAGAGAAGAAAAGGAAGGTAATTGATATTTAAGGGGCAATTTAGTATTGTCAACACCATCCCATACCAGCCCTCTTTGAGGTTGGTCTTTGCAGGGAGCTTTTGTTTCATGTAACAAATGCTACTCCATACTCTAAGAATTGGAACAGTTGGTATACTATTTGGTATACCATAAATCTTTTTTTTTCTCTCAATTTAGGCCTTTGAATAAAATAAATAATAGTATTAGAGACATACTATTATCTTGGAGTCATAAAGTCACAGTATTTCTAGATTTTGGAAACATAAAGTCACACTATTTCTAGATTTTTTTTCTTAATGCAATAAAGAAATATTAGACCAGACAGAAGAACAATAAACAGTTTTAAAAAATCTTTTTTATATAACTAGTATCATTTTTCAAAGTAAGTTAGCTCATATGTCTACACAGTGGTTAAAAGTAAATGTGACTGACTCACAAGAAACATTTGTTAGTTTGAATTTCTGATGGAAAATCTTGATTACATTGTATGTCCTTGCATTTGCTGATACTAACATTGTTGGCTAAACAAAGGGCAAGGTGAAATAGTATGATTATTTTATAACATTAGATTTGGAAAATCCAACTTGTGATACATCGACTCCATATGCTGCCTTTTTAAAAAAGTTAATAAGGAACAGAAAACAAATACAACTGGACATATAATGAGACAATAATAGCAATCATTATTATTGATTCCAATTTTTTATCTCAATTAAAAATTTTCAACTTTTAAAGCAGAATATTATTTTAAGGGTATGATAAATGGTACTATTCTTTTTTATTCATAAGAAAATGCTATTACTCAAAAAGACTTAAAAATAAGATCTTTCATTAGTTATAATATGCAACACTGTGCATTTGGGCATCTGCCAAAATTATTTTAAAATTTCTAATAGCTATAAATGTGTACACACATACAAATATTCAGGAGAATGGCAAATAACAAACTAAATAAAGTAACTGGAGAATTGACCTAAGCAAGAAAGCATAGAAAAATTGAAAAGATTATTCTCTGATTTAATCAATAAAATCAACTAATTGTTTTGCCCTAATAGAAATTAATACTACAAGAAGACAGGAATGTAGAATTCCTTACAGAGATTCCAAAGTTATTGAGAATGATTGTAAATATTAAGATATAAAACTGCAGATGGGGATATTTGAAGTGATGATATATATTTCCTGCTACCCTGGTCAGAGATATGGGTCATGGCATGAAATAGCAAAAGATACTGAAATTGGGCCAAGATGCTATAAAAAAGACGAGTGTGAACAAAGCAGGCATCTTAATGAAATTGTTTGGAGGAGATATTTACCATTTCAGGTAATAGTAATCAATATATATCACAATAATTAGGTTACTTGTATTGACCTTAATTAAAAAAATCTGTATCAAGTGAATATTATGTTGATTTATATTCTAAAGATGTCCTAATGTAGAAAACAGAAACTACCATTATAAAAATGGATACATATTTCTGATAAGTGTTGTATTTGGTCAGAAAATTGATTTCATTTAATATAAATAAATTATGATGGGGAAGGGAGTAAGAGAGGTAATTTTAAGTTCATCAGTACAGGGAATTCACCTCCAGTGGTACAAATTACTGTCCACATAGTAAGTACTTTTGCAGAACATGTAAAGTTTCTAGAAGATATTTATTGCCATTCTCTTAAAAATACAAAATCAAATTTTGCAAAATATTGCAAAATATATTTTCTATTATGGAACCTAATTTTATTTTATTAGTTGTATTCTAAATTGTTTGCTATATTGGGAATCAAAATTGTTCTCTAGAACTTATATGACCATGTAAGAATTATTCCCAGAGACTACCTTCCCTGAAGAATTAAAAACATCATACCACGTGAGATATGTGCATCCATGTTTATAGAAGCACAATTTGTAATAGCTAAATCTTGGAAA